CAAAACATGTGCAAAATTCAAGGATAAATTAGAAAGTACAATGAATAAAATTTAAAAAAAAAGTGAGGGTATAATGAACTTTACATACTATTCAAAAATAGAATCAGGAAGAACATTTTGGATCTCTAAAATAGGAGAACATAGACTATGTTATGGGACAAGAAATCTTATAATTGTTAGGAGAGGACATGGGAAAACATGAGTGCAACTAGGCGCATAACTTCTATGTGTTTACAAAACATATACGAGGGCAAAATTATAAATTTGACAAGCTTTTGGAAAGTTCACTCTACAGTGGTACATTATAATGTATCATTATGCATGTATAATGTACTATTAAATATAAGTTGTCTAAATAGTACTTTTCGTGTGTTATTATGCTTGTAGTGGTACTTTTTACCATCATATATGTTAAATATTTTCCCCCAAAATATTTACCACCTATTACCTATTATACATATAATGGTACATTTTTCATCCTACATGTTTGCTAAACCTATAGGAGCTATGCGCTAAGGGTTAATCGGGAATATATAATACAACATACCAGAAAGAAATTATGATCGAGTAGTTGAATAAGGAATAGGAAAAATTGCTCTAAATAATCCGACCTTTGCCTCATCCGCTCAAAATAATCCCACCTATTGATTATTTTTTAATAATCCGACCTTTATACCTCTTCCGCTTTAAATGATCCCAACCGGCACCTAACTTGTTATTACAAGTTATTAGACACGTGTCAATATAGGATTGGTCAAAAAATAAAAAAAATTTAAAAATAATAATAAAAAAAAAATTAATGAGAAAAAAAAAATCAAAAAAATCCCAAAACCAGAATCCGGCAGCCCCAGCAACCGGCTTTCTGTCCACCATCTCCTTCCCTTCCCCGAATCTAACCACCAAATCCTTTCCCCTTCCCGATTCCGGCCACTCCTTCCAACTTTTCGGCCGGCCACAACCCGACTCCAGCAACAACCAAATAGCGGCGCTACTGCTACTCCTTCGCAAACGCGCTGCCAGGCCACAAACCCACAACATCACAACTACTCTCCCCGCATCAAACACCAAACGAACCCACCACCTTCGCCGACCTCCCCCATCCCCCGATTCTACCCATCCAACCTCCCCCGTCCCTCGATTCCCCGACGTTGAATTCCCCTACTTGATTCATCTCGTTTTCTGAGATTTATTGATCTAGTTTGGTGGGTTTTCAAATGGTTGAGTTTATTGGTTAATGGGATTGGGTTGGCTGGGTGGGTGAGTGGGATTCCGGTCAGCGTGATCTCCGTGCCGGTGGTTTCAGGTTAAGGGGGATGGTGGTTGTAGGGTTTGGGTGGTGGTGGGGATGGTGGTGGCTTAGGTGGTGGTGTTTTTTTTTTTACTACATTTTTGTTTTTGTTTTTTTTTTAAAAAAAAATTTTGACCAATCAAGTAGCTACACTTGTCAATTAAACTTAAAAAAATAAAAATTACCTACTCAACCGGTCCCTGGTAAAATGGGACCATTAAAAAAGATGAGGGGGTAAAGGTGGGATTATTAAAAAATAATCCAAATGTGGGATTATTTTTAGCGGATGGGTCAAAAGTGAGATTATTTTGGACAATATTTTCTAAGGAATAAACCCTGTTATTACGATTAATCTAGCAATTGTAATCATAATTGATTAACCTAGGTACGAGGGACGGGCAGGATAAAGATAGAAGAAGAAAATGCTGATTTATTTTCTATGAAAATGGAGTGAAGAACATTTGATGTCATGAAGACATCCATGCAAAGATATATGGAGGGTGGGGGGGGGGAGAACCTGAAAATTTTGGGATTGAAAAAAATAGCTTAATTAAGAACAGATGCAATTGCAAGATAGTTAGAAAATAACATTTGGAATTTGGGAATAAAAACAATAGCTTAATAATTTAATAAAATTTTCACGAAGGAACTAGAGCGAGATTCGTTGTCTTTGGGCCTGTTCACATTTATTGAACTGAGTTGAATTGATCGGAGTTGAACTGAATTAAATTAAACTGAATTGAATTGATTGGAGCTGAATTGAACTGAACTGTATAAAGCTGAAATGAATATCTTATAAGAGAAGGAAATTAGGAGCTGAACTGAACTGAACTGATTAGAGATGAACTGAACTGAACTGAAATTAAGCTGAAGTGAATAGGCCCTTAGAGAACACGACATAGAAAAAACCCACCAAGTAAAAATAGGAAAAATATAAGGCCACTACATAGGAATTCTGTATTGTTTTTTATTACATAAAAAAATAATGTGTATAATGGGTTAGTGATTAAGGAGTAAATCCATGCAAAAACTTTTGCATGCCCCCGGTTTACAATAATTTTATTGTACATCGAACACTTTTGCGAAAAGTGACCCTTTTTCTTTATAAAAGTGACCATTTTTCTTTACAAAAGTGACCCTTTTTATTACAAAAGTGATCCATATTTTCACAAAAGTGACCCCTTTTTTTTTTTTACTAAAGTGACCTTTTTCACATAAGTGACCCTTTTTATTACAAAAGTAACCCATATTTTCACAAAAGTGTCCTTTTTTTTTTTTTACAAAAGTGATCTTTTTTCACAAAAGTGACCTTTTTTTATCACAAAAATAATTAAGCTACGTATGCAAATTGCAAAACAAAGTATCAAAATCTCACTGGTTTTTTTTTGTTTTTTTCAAAAGTAAACCAGACAAGTATTATTTTACTTTGATTCCAAAATTTTTGCTACTGCTTCCAATTACCATACAAGCATCGTCACCATCATTACCTTCGGAAGCAAGGAACGAAGAGCTTGATGCCGCGATCGAAGGAATGAACAGCCAAACACTCAACAATCGTCAGATCACTGTTAACGAGGCTCAAGCTCGCGACAGTGGTGGCTTTCGTAGTGGGTGAAAAATTAAATGAACATACATACCTTGAAATTAGCTGTAGAAGATGAATCATTGATCAAAACAGGAAAATTTTGTTACAAAATCAAGATATAATCGTAAAAAAAAAGAAGGAAATTGAAGAACAAAGAAGAAGTGCAGAGGAGAGAGAAGAAGTGCAGAGGAAAGAGATGAAGAGCAGGAAAAAAAATCAAATACAAACCCATAGAGAAAAAAATAGAATCTTGCGCATGTAAACTTTCACACGCCATCGCCATTCATTAAGTTATTGTAAACCCGCTTTTTTTAAACTTTTGTGAAATCCATGTTACTCAATTTGAGTAACAGTAACAAAAATATGGTACTCAAGGGGTATCCTTGTCTTTTTATATCTATCCCAACTTTCTTTCTCCTCATTCCTCTTCTACCCAACCATCGTAGTCACCGCCATCATCACAACCACACCATTATCACTTCGTCGCCGCTGGACTCGACCCATCATCACTTCGTCGTCGCTAAACTCGACCCATCTACGAACTCGATCTTTTATCGCCGCTAAACTCGACCCATTAGCGCCACTGAACTTGACCCATCATCAATTGAAGGAGCTTCAATGGAGGACATGGTCACCCCTTCCATTTTGGTTTGATCATGCCCTTAATTTCACCCTTCATTCATAGGGTTTTCGTTTTGTTCCGATGTGGATGGAGATCAGAGGAGGTGGGTGGAGATCGGGGGAGGTGGGGGAGATCGAGGAAGGTGGAGAAAGGACAAAGAAAATGGTGGTTAATTGTGAGAAAGGACGATGGTGGAGATCGGCTTGAGAAAGGGCGGAGATGGTGGAGATCGGTTGTGAGAAAGGACGATGGTGGAGATAAGCAGCTGTGAGAAAGGACGATGGCAGAGGCAGTGGCGGAGCCAGGATTTATAATTCGGGGGGACAAATTTTGGAGGTTAAAGTTTCGGCAAAAATCTCAAGAAAAAAATTGATCACCTAAATTGTTTAATATTTATTTGAAATCACATATGCCAATTATTTCTATATGGCAAAAGAGGAATAAAAAAGTTTTATTGTATATTAAGAAAATTATCCAACAAAAATGAATAAATTTATGTTTGTAAATCCCGTTATGTAATCACATAATTGATATATACGAATTAATTACCTTATCATAAAGTCAAATAATTATCGTTAGAACAAATTGATGGTAGATATGAAGGGTCTGGGTTTGAGTTACATTCGAAAAAATAAACTCAACTTTCTCAAATCAATCATATTATTACATATGTATTTCGTATGTATTAATAAAAGTTAAAACACAGTTACAAACAATTAATTAATAGTAATCTATTTATTAGAAATGTAAAAAAATAGAGTTTAAGCACATAATAAAATTAAAAATCCTAAAACAAGAAATAGGAAATGAAAAATAAAATTAAAAAGACTATTGAAAATTAGAGTAATCAAAAAACAAGTAGGGGAAAAAAAACAAAAAAGCTGAAAAATAGTAGAGTAGGGAATCGAACCTAAGACCAAGGCACAGCCTTACTAAGGACTCAACCACCAAACCATATTCAATATTGTGATATTTACTGTAAGTATATGATATTTATAGCCTTTTACTGTATAATCTTGATTTTTTTTTTTAAAAAAAAAAAACTTTTTTTTCGAAAATGGGGGGACAACTGTCCCCCCTTGTTCTAATGTGGCTCCGCCAATGGGCAGAGGAAAGATGGTGGTTGTGATGATGGTGGTGGCTGTGGTGATAGGAAGGAAGGAGGAAGAAGGAACAAGGTTGAGTCAGCAACAAAAATAATACAGTAAAATATTATCAAATTTACAATTAATTACAATTTGTGTTTGAATAAAAAAAAATTACAATTTGTGTCATTTGAGTAACAAATGCTGTTACTCAAAATGAGTAACGGTGATTCAGCTGTGATTAAATTCACTTTCCATATCAAATATTTCACATAAATCACCTTTAAAATGTTTTCTATGTTCATTCATGTTTAAATTAGTTCCGTTCAAATATTATCAAGTGAAAAAACACACTTTAAATAACACAGTCTCACATTCTATATTAGATCGAACGCATGTCACTCACACGCCAACACATAACTCACATACGCCATGAGACCCGTAACACACCTTGTTCGAGATCGACACGCGCCGATCAAACCACCCATCCGGAAGCAAACCGCGTATCATATCCCCAATAAAACGTCGGTAGTCCACTGATTATTAATCTTAATCAATCCCAAATCAAATTTAACTAATCTTCACACTCTGTTTTCCTCCTTTCACAGCTCACATTCTCCCCTGCTTTCAATCTTCACTCACTCTATTTATACCCCAAAAATATCTCTCCTCTCTTCATCTCTTCATTCCTTCAAGATCTGTCGGTGCTCCATTCTCCTGGTAATCCTCTCTTTCTCTCTCCTCCCCCATAAATCTAGCCCTTTTCTTGATTTTCCCATTTTAATTGATCCTACATTTCTCCCGCAATTTTCATTGATTTCCGGGTTTGTTCTTGTTTCAGATCAAAATCCCAGAAAAATTTACAAATGGGTTCGGCGGAAATGGATTCAATTTCAAACCCAATTGAGGTAATTTCTGATAAATCGAGCAATGGTACGAATAATGGAACCCTAATTCCGTTCAAGATCTTTGTTGGGTATGATCCAAAAGAAGATATTGCATATGAAGTTTGTAAGCATTCAATTCTTAAGCGTTCTTCAATTCCTGTTGAAGTTCATCCGATTAAACAATCTGAATTAAGGGAAATGGGGATTTATTGGAGAGAAAGGGGGAAATTAGAAAGTACTGAATTTTCATTTAGCAGATTCTTAACCCCTCATTTGGCTAATTTTGAGGGTTGGGCTATGTTTGTTGATTGTGATTTTCTATATCTTGCTGATATTAAGGAATTAGTTGATTTGATTGATGAAAAGTATGCAATTATGTGTGTTCAACATGATTATGCACCTAAAGAAACAACTAAAATGGATGGTGCTGTTCAAACTGTTTATCCTAGGAAAAATTGGTCATCAATGGTGTTGTATAATTGTGCACACCCAAAAAATAAGGTGTTAACCCCGGAAATTGTTAATACTCAAACCGGGGCATTCCTTCATAGGTTTCAATGGTTAGAGGATCATGAGATTGGGGATGTTCCATTTGTGTGGAATTTCCTTGTTGGTCATAATCAAGTTGTTGAGGGTAAACTCGAGACTAACCCTAAGGCCATACATTACACTCTCGGCGGGCCTTGGTTCGAGGCGTGGAAGGATTGTGAGTTTGGTGATTTGTGGTTGAAGGAATTGGAGGAGTATGAGAAGGAAAAGGTAGCAGAGAAGGTTGCTGCTTGAGTAGTAGGCTGAGATTTTTAGATTCTTTTGTTCAGCATTGTTTTGTAAGGTACTTATTATTACCTGTTTCGTTGAGTATTCATATTTGTTGATTGTAATTTTTCGACTATTGATGTTAATTCTTGGTAGTTATGTAGAGATTTAGAGCATGCTTTTTAATGATGTAATGTTCTTCACTATTCTTATTGTGAAGATGACAATGTAATACCATGTATTCAGAATTTCTGATATTAGTTTAGCAATAAAGCTTCTATAAATTTTATTTGTTTGATTTGCTATTAGTAGTATGATTCTAACTCCCTTTATTTTATGTTGATGGATCTTTGGTGTTAATGTCTTGGATGCGAGTATGTCTATGACTCTATGCTTTTGTACTATTTCTCGGTGTTGGTTCTGATTCCCTTGTGGTATGGTAGTTACACTTCATTGATGGTTACGGAGTTATGGACTATATCCTTCTATCTTGTTAATTTGCACAATCACTCATTGGCAATACTATTGAAATAGTTCTATATTCTAATAATAATGTACGAGGAGAATGAGGACTCTTGGTCTCTCTTATTCCATGCAGCAAGAGTGATGACTTTTCTTGATATATATGTTAGATAGCTCTAAAATAAACATGGGTGTGGCTGCGCTGCTGTGTACAGTAGGATCCGGTGCTCAGAGATGTGAGGAGAGGAATGCAGGAGTTTCAAGGTCAGGCGTTGTGGCCTGTCAGCATGTGGGAGGAGATTATCCTCTCTCGCTCCTCCCTCCTCCATATCTTGTGCACACTGCGGATGACAGGACACCTCCGTGCACAGGAGAGGATCCTCTCCCTTTGAACTATATGAAGAGACAGCTGCATAATTAATCCGTTTTTAAGTTTGATTGTGATGCTTCCAATATGTTTGGAGCTGAAGCAGCAAATTGATTATGATGCTCTAACTGATAAAGTTAAAAGAATAATGACTGAGTTCTCCAGTAACTATTCTTCAAAGTGCCTTTTAGGTACATTTTCTAAATCATATTCTGAAGTGTTCTGTCTCCTATATTACTCAATTTGGTATATTACCAAATTTGTAATAAAGGTGAAGTATTTGCTGAGTAATTTTCTGCAAAAGACATGCAGCTCTGTCAGAGTACAAGACTTTAAATTATCTACTTACATAGTAGCAATCAACTCGTGTCCTTAACACAATGACGTTCAGAATGAAGGATAGTTTAATTGGTTAGAGCTTTACTCCCGATCCTCATCAATTGCCTTGTGATTTCTATACACCAAAAACAAAAAAAAAAAAAAAAAAAAAAAAAGAGGCAGTGTTGATGCAATTTTCTTCATTGCAGTCTTCTAAAACTTGCAATTTACACACATGACCAAGATCAGGTTCTTTAACACAATGCGAATGGCATTATTATATATGTTACCTCTGTTTGAATTTTCAATATTCATGTTGATAATGTAGTTTGAACTAGTTACGTGACCACCAAAGGAATACTTATACTACAACGAGTACCTTGGGCAAAAGATAGTTATAGCAGTTCAGAAAAGGCAACAGACTACACAAAACATACATAGAACATAAAAAGTAATACACCAGCCGGTAGAAAACATGAGTTGCATCAGTGAGCAAAAGGATGCAAGGTACATAAGCCTGAGAACAAGAGCTATGAAGTATAGGCCACCGGGATCTCGGCCACGTAAGAGTCAAATATGCCATTCGGAGGGAAAAAAAAAAAGGAAACCCTCTCATCAGGTTGATTCTTTCCAATGGCAGCCAGCTCAGGCAACTGAATCTTCCTCTCACATGCAGTGAAGAGGCCTTCTCTAAACGCGGTAAGCTCAGCAGAGGTCAAATGATTGGATTGGATTGGATTCAGTTAATCAGAATGAGCTTGACTTAACGGTAATGTGGAAACTGGATTGCTATGCTATGCCTATTGAAGTTGTTTGTACTGTTACAATTCTTCAATTGGTAACAATTTTGAAATTTTGTGTTTGAAACTGGCATAATCCTTTCAATGTCATACTCGACTACTTGAGGCTCTTGCTATTACATTAGTGGCATCTTGCTTGCGAAGGCATTTTGTAATGCTGTAATTTTGTGAATTTGTGTTTGGAGATCGCGTTATTTAAACTCATTGCCTGCACATTGTATTTAGTTTGCTTCAATGTATGCACGCCACGACCGAAGATGAACAAACATGGACTGATTATTCAGAAAGCAGAATGGCGATTTAATCGAACAATAATATTTATGTTATCTTGTAACTTCAACTGACTATTGTGATTTTATGAACATCTGCAGAACTCTTTCATGAATACAAGCGTAAAATTTTCTGTCATTTATAGCAGTTCTTCCATTCCTCTAGCCAGAAATTTTAAAATAGTACTAGTACTCCGTAATATGTGTAGTACGGTAGAGAATTACTCCCTTCGCACCCTTATGTTTGCCCATCTAGGTAAAGTCACAAGTTTTATTTTTTTTGTTGGAAAGAGTTGTTAGGAGAGTAAAGTGGTGGAACTAGATAGTGTGAGAGTACAACCGTGGCCCCTGTGAATCATTTGTAGCATGCGGAAAATTCAAAGGTATAAATTAGAAGAAAAATGGTACAAGTATCAAAGGACGGATTTATTGGTTGAGTTTTGTTTCATATTAGTAGTAACGATTAGATTTTCTTTACTCACACTTTATATTAAATCATTGCAAATAATACGGATTCAAATCTTTGTATTGTGTAATGCACATGTTCATCCATCTTGATTGGACTAGCCCAGTGAATATGGTTTGCAATCATCTTCAAATCCACTTCGGTAGTTGGGCCAAGTCTTTTGCCTTTGAGCTCAAGTTACTAGAAAGTTGTACTGCTTGTATCATCATGAAAGTCATGACATGCAAAACCAAGAAAACAAGGTAGTACTAGAAAGTTGGATTAACTATATAATCTATCTTCTTAAACACAACTATTTTGTTAAAAATCCATTTGTTTCATCAACATAAAATATAAGAAATATATCTAAATTTAACATTCAAATAAATCAAATTCAGATTTTTTTTTTTTTAAAAAAAAACAGATAAAATAGTCTTTGCCAAAATAAGTTAACTAAACATAACTAACATCAATGTATCCTCGTTCAAAAAAACACTAATATATCCATGTTGCTTGTTCACCTTTGTAACTCATTATCTATTCTAATATTTAGCAATTATTGATATTTTTTTTACATGTCATATTCAAATTTTATGGTTACTCTAGATACTTGGCCTTAAAAAGTATTATAAATTTTTTTTTGCATATATTTTCATTACAAATGAAAAAGATATCATTTCTGAATTCACTATTTAGAATTTGAAAAAGAATGTCTATACGGTATTTTAATAAAGTATATTAGCAAAATTTAAGAGCAATATGACACATACAATAATACAAATATAATTTACCAAAAAACAATACTCATATTGCATGGTATAACAAATACCACCTCCGCTCCTCCATCTGATAACATAGTGCCTATCTTTAATTTCATGTGTTAACAACTTTAAAATCTTAAACAAACAGCACTATCATGATATCTTTAACAACTTTAAAAGTTTTTTTAATATGTACCTGTAATTAAAGATATTGGTAGTAAAAGGCGATAAGTCTTAAAATAAAGTACCTCATGAAGACTATGCAAAATGAAATACTATACTATATTTTGGGACAGGGCGAGGTAGTAACATTTAGGCTTTGTTTGACAATACAGTTTAGGCACCCACCGTATTGAAGATTAAAGACACTTTAACTAAACTTTTAGGTGATAAAAATAACTTAAATTATGTTAATTTGATAAGGTGCTGAATTTTTATTTTTTATTTTTTAATATAAATATACATAAATCTTTTCTAATCTGAATCATCTGATTTTTATTCAAAAAAGTTTTTTAATGAAGGAATTTTTACTAAACATTTGTAATCAACTAGCCCAACTAGCAAAATTAAGGTAATAAGCAACTTATTATATGAAACAAATGAAAACGATTAGATCCAACTGCAAAGGTATCAAGGATATATAGTATTTGATGTAAATTAATTTGTACATAATATCGACAACAATTATATTATAAGTCATAATGATCATCTAATACAATTAAAAAAAAATCTTTTAAAGTTAAGATAAACAAACAAAAGTAACAAAAAACAAGGAACATTAAACCCGTTGTGGGTGTACTGATCTCAACTACTTGTATAGTTCACTTCAACTTCCTTTTTTTAAGGTAAGAAAGTGAGCTCCTAATAACTATATTTTATCTTAAGCTACTAAACTTTAATTAATCACCAAGTTTCACATGCCCAATCCCAAAATTAGAAGCATAGTGACATAATCCATAGCACTTGGACAACCTTCCTCTTGTTCCAAGTATGTGTACCAAATAATTTTAAAATCCAAAAACACGATAACCCCTTCGTCCCAAAATGATCTTCACACTTGGGATTGACACTACACGTTCGATTTGAGCAAAGCACTTGTTGTGTAGATCGATTGTGTTTCTTGTTCAATTCCCGTCCCACAAGATTTCACTCAATGAGATCTCGTTTGATTGAAATTAGCTTAGCTTTTTTTGTTGAGTTAGTCGGTCTTAGAGGGTGTTCTCGGCCCTAGTCCAACAGCTTCCGAACTATTCATTAGACGAATTCTTTTGCATGATTCAACGAACATACTGTTCAAACCACAACAACAAAAAAATATAATTAATATCAATTATTAAATATATAATAAAGCTAAAAATACATTTTAAATTAAGGAATTATTATATCGATCTTGCTAACGAGCGCCCTGGGGCGTTAGATAAGGATAAATTATATTGGTTGAAATGGTATTAAGTTAGGAATTCATGACAAAATCACGCGTCGTTCGGTGTAATTAATATTAATTTTATTCTAATATTTGCACTTTAATTCTCTTATCTAACGCCCCGGGAGCGCTCATTAACTTTTGCCTTATTCGATATTTAATTTTAATTTATACTTACTTCCAAGGAACATCTCCAACCATCATCCAATCACCATCCTTGTCCTCATAAGTTGGTACATAATCAGATCCATTGACAGGGTCCATTAATTTTCCATCATTAAAGAAATTTCCTGCAAAAATAAATATTTATACAAAACATTAATTAACAACCATACCTTATTAAAAACTTAATTAATTAAATTTAAAGGAAATAATTAATAATTATGATAAAGATTACTTACGTATGGTGAAGGAAGAAAACATGTCTTCCAAAGCTTTTAAAAGTTGTTGGTAAGAATTGTATAATTCAAGATCAACTTTTCTTAGATAAGGAGCTCCATCAACGGCTACTTTTACATATTTGTAACTTTTCATTACATTCTTCCTACTTGCTCTCACTGGTGGCCATCCTACCAATTGTGTCCTGCCACGTCATAAATTGCCGAAATTAGTGGAAAAACTAATACAAGTACATAAAATACATGGAAACATTGTTTTAAGTCATAACTTCATTAACTTGTTACATACGGAGTAAAATTTAAAATATGACATAGTCCTTGTAAGACGACCTAGTCAAGTTATCAGGATTTAGAATGATTAAGGGTTTATATATATATTTTCTCATTTGTTGACTAGACGGTTTAGTAAAGGAAGATAAATATTATACTAATGTGACGATATCTTTGTAAAAATTTGCTATGATGAAAACATTCTCCTAGTGAAACTAATAAAACTAAAACAAAAAAACGAGTTCTTACTTGGAAGGAGCAGGTTTAGGGGCACTAGATTGCTCCATCTGATCATAATCACCGTTTTTAGCGGTTTTATTTCCATTTGATTCATCACGACCAAGGTTCAAATCTATAGTATCCGAAAATCGCCTTTTTAACACTGATTTCTCCTCTATATTTGATACCTTTTCGCCTGGTAATCTAAGAGATAACTCGGTTTCCTTGAAATTCATTGTTGAAATATCTTGATGTACCATCTCAAAGAAAAATTACAATTTCTTGCTTGAAAGTTTAGTTTCTTTCTATATAATTGATTGGTTTTTTTGAGGAGGAAAAGTTTGGCAAAGTGAATGAAAGTTATGAAAGCACTTGTACATATGAAGGTGTATATATACACAAGAGCTAAAGGGTTGGTTATACTTATACTACTAGTTGGATTAATTAATTAGCAAGAATATTGAATGATCTGACCATTATATGTTTGCCACGTGTCTAAAGATGTACGGTTGTGATCTGTCCAAGTAGTAGACAATGTATGATTGCTCAAAGCGTGTGTTTCTTATTATTTGTAGGTTGGACGTTTACCCCACAGCCTCTTCCTACCTCATTCTTGCCCATAATTTTCGGTGCTACCTCTAAATTTGTAGTTTGTACAACTTTAACGCTTTGTTTGGATAGCAAAAAAGGAAGGAAAAGAAGGGGAGGGAAAATGGAGGAAGGGAAGGGAAAAGAAAGGGAGGGGGAGGTGAGCTTCATTTTCCCTCCAAATCTCTCCAATTTTGGAGAGATTATGGTTATTATAGAGAAAGGGAAAATAGATCCCTCCCTCTCATTCCCCTTCCTTCCCCCAATCTTTTACCCAAACAAGATATTTTGTTCCCCTCCATTTCTCTTCTCTTCCTTTCCTTCCATTTCGTCCTATCCAAACAAAGTGTAAATGTATTTAACTTTTTAAGGACTATTCAAAAAGATAAATGAGAATTTATTCAAAAGATTTTCACCATTATTTCAAATACAAATGAGTTTTATGACTATTTTGGTGAGTGGTAGCAATATTGCAATTGTACTACTTTTGTTCATGATTTATTGAAATGAAGTTGATACAAAATTAAGGAGTAATTAGTATTACATATTTGTTGTAACTAATAAATAAAAATAAATCTTTCAAGACTCTATTTACTCCATATAATTGATTACGGTTAATCAGTTATATTGGAGTTTGTTAACACTATGTAAAGTTTAAATGGTAAGAACTTTTTAAAAACGAAATAAAATGGTACAAATCAAAGTAAATTTAATCTTTTATACGTAGTATTAAAAAAAAAAAAAAAAAAAAAAAAAAAAAAGAGTAAATTTAATCTTCTTTCTTGTTGCCAAAAAAAAAAAAAACTTCTTTCTTTTTGTTTTTTTTTTTTTTTGAAAGCAAATTTTCTTTCTTACTCCGTAATTTCATTGTTATAAAATCAAAAGAAATACATGAAAAGTAAAAAAAAAATAAAATTATTTAAAAAAAAAAAAGAAAAAAAAAAAAGAATGATGGCGTAAGAGCAGCTCGTGTGCGGAAGGACAGCGGAGGAGGCAAGAAATGGGGCCCAAATTTGTCGGTCTTTAAGGGTAATCAAGTCAACTCCTTCTTTTAAATGGGCTCCACACTTCCTTTTTACGCCATGTGACGCTGTCTTTTTGTCGGACTTCTGTCCCCTCTTTCGGATCCTAAACTATTCTTGATTTCAGCGTTCGGGTCGTCCAGCTCAGCTACATCAAAATCGACACGTGTCGTATTATTTGTATCCGTCTTTTTATGCTTGTTAGTAATCTTAATCAAAGTACTCCGTATTGTGGAAAAGTCGATATTTATCTCACCGTTTCATTTTGATTTTCTTACTTACTTAATACTATCTCCGTTACATATTATTTGCAACGATTAGACATTTTCCTCTCTACTTTATGTCAAATCGTTGCAAATAATATGTAACGGAAGTAGTATTTAAAAACGGTCAAAAAAAATAGAACAGGTATTTAAAAACGGAGGGAGCATTAAATATAATGCAGATAAATATTTAATATATTTCCTTTTTTTTAGAGGAATATATTTCCTTTTTTAGTACTCCGTATTAAGGGCGTGTTCGACGCTAGCTTTTGAGTTGGTTTTATGTAGCTCAAAAAAAGTGAGTGTTTGGCAAAGTAATGGTTCAAGTAGCTTTTAGTGGTGGAGGTAGCTTTCATTAAAAGCTAGGATTATTAGCTTTTGAAGTTAGAGGTAGATTTTGAAGTACCTTTTGAAAATTTAATGTATAGTTTTAAAAATAAAATATTGATTCTTAAATGTAACAACTAGTCAACCACTACTTTACCGAACAATCATACCTAAATTATCTTTTTTCACAGCTAACAGCTATCTCCACAGCTCACAGCTACCTTTTGCCGAACATGCCCTAAGTTGATAATTTTTCTTACAAGTAAATCGGTGTAATAAATGTTTATTTAATATCTATTCTTTTCACTTTTAGCTTCTCATATGCAGCTACTCCCTCCGTTTTTTTAAATGCATCACTTTGATTTTTGCACTATTCACATATCATGGTTGATTTAATTTTTTTTCCTATATAAAATAAATAATGTTATTATATAATATATCATTAGATTAGTCATACTGTCTAGTTTCATAATATAATTTTGTTAGTACAAATTTTACTAATAGATAATTAAAGATATTAATGGTCAGAGTTGTGTCTCGGCAAATGTGGCGGTCAAACTTATGCAACTAGAAGAAAACAGGAGTAGCATTTTTTTCCGTATATATTTAAAAACATAATCATATGAGTTTAATTTAATTCGTCATGGTGAATTTTTTTTTTTTAAACAACTTGGTGAATGTATTATTAATACCTAATGATTGAAGTTTTCCTTAAAAAAAAAACTTGCGATATACTTCGTATAAATTAAGGGGAAATACAAGTTAATTTGCTAGATAAACGAATTTTTATTAATCTGATGACATTTTTGTTAATATATTGAAAAAACATGGTAATTTATTCAGTACTTTTGGTGAGATGTCCAATTACTGTTTGCCTTTTGTTTTTACTGTTTGGTGAGAAAATTACACACGTACCCCTCAACTAGTATATGAAAATACGCATATACCCCTCCACTGATACTTAAAAAGACAATTATACCCCCAGATAAATATTTTTTGTTATCTGAGAAATTAACTGGGTATCCCTCATTAATAGGTGGAAAATTCAATGTGGAGCGAAAGAGATGTTGTAATAAGCAAAGCTTTTAACTCTTTTAAGCAATAATTTCTCTGTATCTTTCTCTTTATAATTAGTATAAGTGACTGTATATTTACATCTCTTTATATGTTACACTTGTTAAGCAATTGAGGAAGTATGACTTATGAGTTATGAATAGCCTCAATCATACGAGTGATTAAACAAGTGTTTGAAAATAATGTAAACTATGTATGGGCTATTGACGGAATTATATAAATAAATTAATCATGACCAAATAGCTAGCTTACTCCCACCATTTTACAAGTGCTTATATAATTTTATTACTCAAAAGAATTCATTGTAGTTGTGCAGTGAAATTGAAAAGGCCTTAAGAGGCATTTTGACTATTTGTTTTTAGTAAGAAGGGTCTATCGTAATATTCCGAGTCAACCTGATCTAGGTTAACTAACTAGGTAATTTGGAATAATGGAGGAAAAGCAACGAGATCCCTTTCAATATTCCTCCAAATTTTCCTAATGGAATTGAACCCCTTATGTTATGGTTGGATGGTGTTTTTCTTTTTTAGACCAAACTTATAATTTGATACATTTTGATTTTCTTTAAGGTAGGTGAAAAGAGCATAAATTGAGTGGGTGAAGTCATTTTTTTTATTTTTTATTTTTTTTTCTTATATGAAAATTTTAACTACTAATCTATATCCATGAATTTTCAGCCCCTTCTATCTTATTTAACAAAATGACCAAAATTTCTCTAATTTAAGCAACAATATTATTGTGAGGGGATCTCCATTATTAGTTACGTTTATTTTTTTAAGAAAAAAACAAGCAACTTTTTCTTTTGTTGGAAAAATAAAGTACCATTAACTAACTTATCAAAAATTAAATATAAAAATAAAACCAAAAACATCTTCTCTTCTTTTTGTCTTTTTTCCTTTTCAACTTTGTTGGATGGAAGATTTGCTTTTATAATTTATACTTTTCCTTTTTCTCGGACCAGGACACAAAGATAATTATTTAGTACTATGGACAGCAAAATCGTGTTAGACAAGAGTTGTTCAATAATTTTGATTTAACAACTATTTAAGAGGCGATAAAATAAGTTTTATGTATTAGCACAACGTTTAATTAATTTGATTGTTGATAATAAATTAAAATATTATTTTATATAAACTTAATTTATACTCCATAAAAAAAAATATATGTAAAAAATGGGGTCTAATTTAATGCTATTGCTAGTTTACAACCATTAAAATTGAAAACAACTAATGCTTGTTTGATTAGCATCAAAATTAATGAAATTAAAAGTAAATTAAATCCTCTCATAGTAAAGTGAAACTCTATATATTTGCTCCACCAAACAACAATTCGCAAATTTCAAATTTCAAGAATTATTCAAGGTAAAAATATTGGTCTTTCTAAGTAATACGTTGTATATTATTTTTTTTTATTTTGTATTATATTTTTAAGTTTGTTACTCCGTATATTAAAATTCATTTTAAGTTTTTTATGGATAATTATAAAATAAATTTTTATTAATATTCTATGAATTTATGCTTAATTAGAATGAATGATATGATTGTGTGTTCTCCTAGAGATACACAATGATTCATCGTCCCTTAAAGTTAAAGTGATTGCCAAAAGTAATAAGGATACAATAATTAGTAATCTTGGAAAAACTTTAACAATTAAAGTGATGTGCTTTTTGATTAAATACGCATAATGACCTTTAACAATTTTGGGATAACATCCATCTAGTCTTTTATTTAAAAACCTAATTGTATGACATAATTGTGAAACTTTTAATGGTTATATTTGCTTCACTTCTAAACAAAACCTCTTTTATTTTATCAAATTTCTTTGACATAATGTTTTTAGACAGCTTGAGCATGAACTCGTATCATTTTACTTTTTTTTTTGAAACAGAAAGGTACACAATAAATTAGAAAAAATATTTTTCTCAAGACCACTCTAAAGCATACAACTATACATGAAATACATTGACAACATTGTTGCATATATAATTGGTTATGTTGAATATATATATATATATATATATATATATATATATATATATATATATATATATATATATATATATATATATATATATATATATATATATATATATGAGTCACTTAATTTCTTTTGTGTTAT